TCACTTCTCTGACTTTTCCGGGGACCCACCATATAATCAAGTGCCAAAAATCTTCTCCTTCTCCTGAGAAAACACCTAACAATTGGTTGGTCACCACATTCCCAACTCTCCGTACTTAATACGTCTTTCTGGAAGCAACCCTGAATGCTGTCACTGTGAGGTCTCCCTAACCACGCACAAAGACAAACAATGAACAAGAAAACACAAACAACAGCTGTTCAGTTTGGTAAATGGGGAGGCCATTAACCATGAAGTGATGTCACCTCATTCTGCTCATCCTCCCCAAATCCACGGTTCATTGGTGTATTTATCTCCTCTTTGTCATGGACACTTTACATGGAGTGTTGAACTGAGGATTCTGAAGAACAGCGCCTATGTAATTACTTAGGTGACTACATATAAGTAGACTAACTTAAAGCTGTCCCATTTTTCTCCTTTACATATAATAACAGCTCATTAGGTATACTTGCAAATGGCTTAACATAAACCTGTAATTCCACCCTAATGCAAGAGAGCTCACTGGTAAATTTAATAAATTCAGACAAAGGCAAATAAGTGCTTTAATAAGAGAGAACAGTGCATCCCAGAAGGTAACAAGTGTGAAATTAAATTTTCAGTTATACAATGATATATTATGCTAAGCCAACTAACATCACATCATAGGCAGTATAATATCAGGGAAATTTTAATATTAATACTATGAAACTTGGTGAATAAAATCTTGGTTAGGGAGTTAATGTTTTAGAGCATATGAGGGCTGGTGAACAATAAGCAAAATGCAAAGTACTGGAATCTTAAACTATTACAAAATTATTCCACTAGCAAAGACAACAACCTTTAAGTGATGGAAGAAATTAAATTCTTTAACATACAATTATTGAGCACATACTACGAAATGCATAGTGTTAGGTACTCTCAGGCCAATACACCAGCACACACTCTACATCCCTATAGCACTTTCTTCTAAAGCACTGTAGCATTTAGCATACTATATGTTAATCATTCATAAGTAATATATATACTACTTTTTGAAAATACTGTCCATATCAAATATACACAAAATAGAACTTTAAAAAGACGTTTTACTATTTTATTCCCACTGACCAGACTATATGCTCCTAGAGAGGGTCTTAGTTGTCTTTGTTTCTTCAGTGCCTAAGTCACAGGCGGCGCTCAGTAAAAATTTGCTGAATGAATGAGCAATGGAGCTCTCAAAAAACGTGAAACCACAGCATACTTTCTGACATGCTGTATTTCATCACCCAACCACTTAGTCTAATATAAGTGCCAAATTCCTCTTAAAGGGATTAGAAAAAATTCACCCACTTTATTAACACAGTTTAAAAGCTAAGGACAATTTTAATTCAGCCAATTCTTGGGGCGGAGAGGGGGAAGCCTTATAATTCTGTTTCCAGAATGATGAAAAGGAGAGAGGAACAGGAAGAAAGAATAAAGAACTGGAGATTTTTTTAAGGTTTCTTGGAGTTCCGAAATACTCTAAAATGCAATTCATCTTTCATTCAATGTTTTTTCTAATGCTATGTTCCAAACATTTAGAATATATTTTTAGGAATACACTAGCCACAAACTCAGATGCAAGAGGAAGTGAAGAGAAGAACACAGCTACTAAATTCTCAGTACCCATGAAATATAGTAGATACACTTCAGAACATACAAGCATTCTAAACAAGGGTCAAGCCTTCAAGGAACAGCCTATTTGTGTTCTATTCAAGACTAGATAGAAAGAGGCCAAAAATAAAAGCTACCACTAATACATCTACCTTAAAAAAATTTTTAAGTAAAATTTAAAAAAAAATTTTAAGGTATGCTTTCAGAAAACTATGAATGTTTATGTAACTGACATACAGTCTAGCTAAAACAGCAGGCAAAACCAATCTTCCTAATTTCTAGAGCTTCTGTAATGTAAATGAGAAGTCAGGGCCTTCACTTAGGTCCAGTGAGCATTATCTGTCATTAACATAACACTCCATTCCCAAGGCCCCATTTTAGAAGATAAACTGCCTGCAATTCATGTTTGTTTGCAGCAATATACAGCTGGCTATTTTTTTTAATACTACCTAACTACGGTTAGGCATTATTTAATGCTCAATAATTTTAACTAAAGCCAAGCAGGTAGGTATTTCAGTAGCTTATCAAGCTTGCTTTTTATGTGTATTGTGATTCATGAAACCTATAGTATATTGTCCAATCCTCCCCCTACCTCCACCCCCAATCACCTTACAAGGAAGACTTTAGGGACAGAAGTTTCCACACCTATTTAGATTCTTCACGTGCCCCTCAAAGTTCCCAAACCATTTTTTAGCTCTATCAAAAGCTTTATAAATTCCTACTATAATCTTAGTAAAAGAAATTCTGTAGTAGGAGCACTTGGGTGGCTCAGTTGGCTAAGCCTCTGCCTTTTTGGCTCAGGCCATGATCCCAAGGTCCAAGTGATGGAGCCCCAAGTCGGACTCCCTGCTCCCAGGGAAGTCTACTTCTCCCTCTCTCTCTGCCCCTTCCCCATCTCATGCTCTCTCGAGGTGTAATAAATAAAATCTTAAAAAAAAAAAAAAAAAAAAAAGAAAGGAAAGAAGTTCTACAGTAAAACCTAACACTTGGGGCACCTGGGTGGCTTAGTCGGTTAAGCGTCTGTCTTCAGCTTGGGTCATGATTTGAGTCCTACTCAATGGGGAGTCTGCTTCTCCCTTCTCCCTTCTTCCCTTCTCCCTTCTCCCTCTCCCTCTCTGCTTCTCCCTTCTCCCTCTCCCTCTCCTAACCCCCCCAACCCCACTCATGTGCATGTTCTCTCAAATAAATAAATAAATATATTTTAAAATAAAATCAAACATTCCCTAGAGTAAACAGTATGTTCAAAAGAATTATCACTTTTTTAAAAAGCTCCTGGTTTACATTTAGAAATACTATTTATCAACATGCTTCTCTCTTTTGCTTTTCTTTTCCTCTGAAGCAAAACTAATAAAACATAAATTTATACAAAGGATAGTTTTAAAAGGTTTTAACAAATACCTTTGCTACCTTTTCAAATATTCATTTTAAAATTCAACAAACACTTCATAATAAATTGAACAATGACCTTCAATCCAATCAGTTTAAAATGCACCAACTATTAACATAACTTATATTTACAAAGGTACTAAAATCTTAAGTTTTTTCTTTTTTTTAAAGATTTATTTATTTATTTGACAGACAGAGATCACAAGTAGGCAGAGAGGCAAGCAGAGAGAGAGGAGAAAGCGGGCTCCCCTTGGAGCAGAGAGCCCAATGTGGGGCTCGATCCCAGGACCCTGAGATCATGACCTGAGCCGAAGGCAGAGGCCCAACCCACTGAGCCACCCAGGCGCCCCTAAAATCTTAAGTTTGATGAGAGTAAGCAAGGTAGAGTTTAATACAAGTTAAATTTTAGAATCCCTTTAATGTCAGCTACATCACCCTCAAAGTTAAGAAACTGAACACTTCTGAACCATGAACCTATAAACCAATTTGACTGATGTCCTCTTTCATGCCATGTAAGCCATTGCCTAACTGAGGCCAGACCTGTCAGGCTCGACAGCATCCTGGAAATGACTAGCCTACTAGAGCTGGAAACACATCAAGAATTTGGAATATTTCTCATATTGAGAAAAAAGTTCAAGGGAGATTGTCCATAAGAACAATCATTACACTGTTCCGTAGAAAAAAGAAAGAAAAAGCGTATCTTTGTTATTCTGGCCAGGTCATAATGAATACATCTAAATTCTCTATTTTCTGGTGATGTCCCTCTGCGTTTATCTTTTTTCCCACATATGGACAGAGTTAACTACTAAATCCTCACTTTGAATGCCTGTCTTTTAATCCAATTTGTATTTTGTATTCTTAGCTACTGACACCATCACCTGAAGCATGGCTGGTTTCTTGATTTAGAAACCTGTTAACAATAATGCCAAGCATCCAACCTGCTTAAATGTTTCACCTCTTACCAAGAATAGCCATTAAATGTCGAAAAGATACAAGCATACATACATAAACACACACACACACTCAATTCCCAGTCATGAAAAATTAAGTCACATTCCGGCCATAAAGTGTGCAATAGACACTTCCAGTTAGCGTGTGCTTTAGTGATCACGGACAGCGGTATCAGAGTAAGTGGTAGGGGGTTGGGGCTGTTAACACACTGCATCAGAGCCAATAAGCAGCAGGCTAGGACTGGCAGCAAGGCCGGTCTCTAAAGGGAGCTATAACACAATATCAGAATGCTGGATTTCCGAATGCCATTTTGCGGGGAGGAGGGGGTGAGAACTGGGGATCAAGTGCAATGTAAGGCTCTGGCCAACGTCTAAGGAGATGAAACCTAAGACAAGGTCTTGTGGCAACACCAGCTGCCCAGTCTCATCTCACCTCAAATACAACTTAATTTCAGGTCCTTCTCATCCAAGTCAGTCGCTCAAAGGGTAAGGGGGTGGCAGGAGTGGGTGATGATAGCCCCCTAGAGACTGGCAAAGGCCCCTCGGAAAAGGCGGAGACTCCACAATTGGAAGGGGCTTCCAGCAGCAGAAAGAGGCGGCTTTGCAGCTGCCTCCCCTCTCCCTTCCAACCACGAGCTTAGGATGTTGTCGGGTTTTATGAAGGAGTGATATGAGAAAATGGCAGTAAAGGATGAGAGGGGCTGGAAGGGCTGGTGCCACCCAAGAAAGGGGGGAGAGGACTTCCCTGGACACATCCAGGGTAACAACGCCACCAAACAGCATGGGCATTTCCCTACCAGCACCAGATACCCCTCTCTCTGGGAAAGCTGCTCCCCCTTCCATACGGTCCCAATTCCCAAACACTGCTCCCACCCGACCCTTCTCCCCAATAATATTCCCCATCGCAGGCCTCCTTTCCCTTCCGCCTCTGGCGCCCCACGCCCTCAACCTCTCCTTCCCTTCCCCGGTCACCCACCCCCGGGACAGCCAGTCGTTGGCCTCCCCCGCAGCTCGCCCAGACCCCTCCCCCCTCACCTCTCCTCAGCGCCTCCTCGTAGCTGAGGAATCCGATCCGTGACTCCTTGGCGCCCATGCTCCCCTCATCCCCTCGGCCGGGGGTCGGAGCCTGATCTCGCCCCCACCCCCCTCCCGCCCACGACTCGGCGTCCCTGGGTGACGGTGTTGGCGTCCCCCAGCCCCCTCCTCCCCCCACACTAACAAGTGCGGCTTCTGCCCCGGCAGCTCCTCCCGGCCGCCGCCACCGCCTCCATGCCGAATCACGTGACCCGCTCCCACCCCGCCCCCTTCCCCTCCCTCCTACTCCGCCCTTCTCCTCTCTCCTCCCTTCCCTTTCCTCCTCACGCCCTCTTCCCTCCCCCCTCCCCCCTCCCACCGGCCCCGCCGAGGGTCACCTGACCCGAGGCCGGGGATTGTTCCGGGTAATGGCCGCCAGGGGCCACAGACACCGCCCCGCCCCACGCTCTCCGCGCGCAGGAGCGTAAGGGAGGGGCTGGATCCCTCCCGTAACGCATCATCCCGCAGCTTCCCGCCAATCCCAAGGCTCAAGGCCCGGGAGCCTCCGCCCACCTGAGCAGGCGACTTCCGGGGCGCTCGTGGCCGTCTCTCCCGCCCACCCGTTCTGGAGTCTGAGGGGTGGGGCCGGAGCAACTGGCGGTTGGTCTGTTCTTGGACTGGCCCCATCTTGGGTAGAATCTTAGGAAACAGGGGTGTGAGGGGTGCAGTGAGAGAAAGGGGAGGGCAGGGGAGAAACTCCTAACGGTATGGGAATTCTTGGCTAGGAGGTAGTTGTGAAAGCAAAGAGACTCTCAAGGATTTCCTGTGACGAAAGCATTCTCAATCCTGGTGGGGAGATCCCTAAGGAGAAATGAACCTTGTGAAAAGTTTAGAATATCTTCCTTTTCACGTTATCCCGTTTGCCCCCTATTCCCCAGTTGACTCTAGATTTCCTTTCACGTCTGCAAGCCCACCTCCCACTCAGCCTGGCTCTTGTATAGAATCTCTGGGAGCTGATGTGCAAAAGGTTTAGCTAGTTTCTCTCCAGGAGTTGCTCCCCACCAGAGATGTGAGGCTTACAAGACTTCCTACAACAGAGCCCCTTGCTTTTCAAAAACCTGTTTTTTATTGTGGTGAAATACAGAATTAACCATTTTTAAATACCTCATGGGCGGAATCATAACAGTATTTCTCATTTCCTGTCTGGCTTATTTTGACTTACCATAATGTCCTCAAGGTATGTCTCTCGTAGGTTGTGTCAGAATTTCCCAGGTTTACTATATGATCCAGGATTCTTGTAACTATATAACCAAAAGAAATGAATGAGGGACACATATTTATACACCCATATTTATGGAATATTATTCCCGGGGCGCCTGGGTGGCCCAGTGGGTTAAATCCTCTGCCTTCAGCTCAGGTCATGATCTCAGGGTCCTGGGATCCAGCCCTGAGTCAGGCTCTCTGCTCAGCAGGGAGCCTGCTTCCCTCTCTCTCTGCCTGCCTCTCTGCCTACTTGGGATCTCTGTCAAATCAATAAATAAAATCTTTAAAAAATATATATTATTCTCAATAGCCAAAACGTAGAAATAACCCAAGTGTCCATCAATGGACAGATCAATAGATGTGGTATAGTTGGCCCTTGAACTCAGATGAACTCAAATTTGAACTCCAGGAGTCCTCTTGTATGTGGATTTTCCCCCATCAATATCATGTAGTACTGTAAATGTATTTTCCTTATGTTTCTTTCCTCTAGCTTATTTTATTTTATTTTTTTAATATTTTATTTATTTATTTGACAGAGATCACAAGTAGGCAGAGAGGCAGGCAGAGAGAGAGGAGAAAGCAGGCTCCCCGCTGAGCAGAGAGCCCGATGCAGGGCTCAATCCCAGAATCCTGGGATCATGAGCTGAGCCAAAGGCAGAGGCTTTAACCCACTGAGCCACCCAGGCGCCCCACCTCTAGCTTATTTTATAAGAATACAGTATATAGGAGTGCCTGGGTGGCTCAGTCGTTAAGTGTCTACCTTGGGCTCAGGACCAAACTCCGCATCAGGCTCTCTGCTCAGCCAGAAGCCTGCTTCTCTCTCTCCCACTCCCCTTGCTTGTGTTTCCTCTCTCACTGTCTCTCTCTCTGTGCCAAATAAATAAATAATCTTTTAAAAAATACAGTACAGGGGCCCCTGGGTGGCTCAGTTGGTTAAGCAACCGCCTTCACTCAGGTCATGATCCCAGAGCCCCGGGATCAAGTCCCACATTGGGCTCCCAGCTCCATGGGGAGTCTGCTTCTCCCTCTGACCTTCTCCCCTCTCATGCTCTCTCTCTCTCTCTCTCAAATAAATAAAATCTTAAAGACCCAAATGGCTTGGATTAGCCACTCAAAAAAAAAAAAAAACAACAGTATATAATACATATAGCATGCAATATATGTGTTAACTGTTTACATTATTGGCAAGGCTCTGGTTAATCAACAGTAGTAAAGTTTTGGGGGAGTGATACAAGGATTTTTGCCTATGCAAGGAGGGTTGGTGCCCCTGACCCTCTCGTTGAAAAGTCAACTGTGTGTGTGTGTGTCCACGTGCGCGTGTGTATAAATATATATAGTTGTGTATATATACACTATGTGTATATATATATATATATACACATACATACAGCACATAATATGCACTTGTATTCTATATACAGTTGTATATTATTCAGTTCCTCGCTTTTTAAGCCCTATTCAATTTGTTTCTGTTAGTCTTCACTCTCAAAGTCACAGTGTAAAGCTTTTAGATAAGGAAATAACTTTGAAAAATAACCATTTGGATTAGATTAGACAGGAGGTGCCAGTCAGGTAATTCAGAGCCAGCAAAAGGATTTTAATTCCTAAAGCCAACAGATTATGATACACCCTGGTAGAGAAAGAAGGCAATACTCTTGTTTCTCTACTCGCCTTTCCTGGCAGACCAGATCAGCAGCGTGGCATTAGTCACTGTGCCGCCCTTTCCAGTTCACCGTGAGGCAGTTAATTTTAAGACCTCAGATTAGTTTCATTACTAAAAGGCCATGAATGAGGGGGTTGGGAACCCACTTCAAAGCCTTTCATTTCTAGATCATTAGTTTGGTATAGACAGAAGGCTCCAGACAAAACAACTCTGTCATTTTCAGCCTGCAGTTAGATTATCATAATTACTGGGAAATGAATCTTAAGGGCTCACCTGCAGGAGAAAAGACCCTCAAGAGTTCAACTGCAACATACCTAAGCATCATTACTGTCTCAAATAATCAATACCTAAAGACAACCTTGGTCTACCAAAGATAGCCCTGAGTAATTATCTACCCATTTGATTTACAGTGAAATTAGAAGCAAATTGTAGCTCTTTGTAGTACTTGCCCCACTTGAAAGGTGGGGCTAGGATTGGACTTAATCACATGAAATAGTAAATTATTATAAAATAGGAAAGAGTAGAATATAAACTTTATAATGAAAGATTTAGAGCAGTACTAACACACAGGAACCTTTAAAATTTCCTCCTTGGTTTCAGACCTGCATTCAGGGCCATAAAAATGTTCATCCCATCATAGAGTTTACCATGGATTAAACACTTCTCGAAATTGTGAGTTGAAATAGCAAACTAAGAAATAGTATTTCTCCTTTGTCTGAGTTAAATTAAGCATATTATTGAAAGCAGTGAAGCAGATAGTTATGTCTGATGGGAATTTTAAATGTTAAGCTGGGATTAAGGCCTGCCTTTTGGTTTGTATTACACAGTATCCGGCAGTCAAATGTTAAACATCCCTCTATAACTTAAAATTGACACAGTACTAAAGTTTGATGATGTAGAAAATCTAAAGCCCACTTGTCATGCTGAAAGGAATCCTATTAATCATTTAGTTTGTTCACTTTCATTATATTTCACTTAATCCAGTGAAGAGTTGGCCAGCCACCTGACTTCAAGCATTAGGTTGCACTTGGAGAACCATTGTTTTAACTATAATTACATGCCCGTGAAAGAGCTGTCCATATGAAGATTTAAAGCATGGGAGACCAGCATGTAATTTCTACTTCCAGTTGAGCAACCTAAATGACAGTGTTCCTCAGTTTGTACTCCCAGAGAAATAACACAGGAATAGGGCAGAGTCATTTTAATACTTGCCAAAGAAGCTTAGGTCATAGACAGGGACATCAATACAGTAAAGAAGGTATGCAACAGCACCTCATTTATGTTTAACTTGATTGCCACAAAATGAAGCCAACAGTGTATGAAGTATGACTACAGAATTGGGGTTTTTTTCTAGTATTTTGTACCTGTCTCTTTATAATGACAAAATAGGAGGATGTGGTCACCGTTATATTTTAAAAATATATGTATTTTGGGGTGCCTGGGTAGCTCAGTTGGTTAAGCGACTGCCTTTGGCTTAGGTCATAATCCTGGAGTCCCTGGATTGAGTCCCACATCAGGCTCCCTGTTCAGCAGGGAGTCTGCTTCTCCCTCTGACCCTTCACCTTCTCATCCTCTCTCTCTCTCTCTCATTCTCTCTCTCTCTCAAGTAATAAACTAAATAAAATCTTTTAAAAAATGTATTTTAGAGTAAATGAAAATATAACTTTAAACAAGTTACTTTTAATGAAAATAATATATATTCTATGTTAAAAAAAAGTTTTTCCACCAATTAAAAAAAGTGTATATAAAATATACAAGTATATAAAGTATACTTCACCCTATCTCATTCCCCAGGGGTATGTATCCTTCCAGTTTTCTGTAACTATACCCACTACACACCTTTTTCATAGTCTACATACTGATCTGCAATTTCTCTTTCACTCAATAGTATAGTTCAAACTGCTTTTTGTGTCAGCTTATAGATCTACCTTATTTTTTAACATACATAATATGCCAATTTTATGTAGTTAATGTATAATTAACCAATCATCTGTTGATAAACATTATTTTCAAGGGTTTCAATATTACAAACATTGTTGCAATTGACATCCCAGTACATATATCCCCTTTACAAATGTGAGAATCTCTGTAGATGGAATTTCCAGAAGCTGAATTCCAGAGTCTAAGACTATGCACCTTTAGTTTTAATAGTAGATGTTGCCAAATTGCTAGAAAGATTTGGATCAATTTACATTCTAATGAAGAGTGTCCGAGAAAGCCAATTTCCTCTTACCTTGCTAACATTAATATCAATTTAAACTGATTTTTGTCATTACCTATCACAAATCCTAACAACACAGAACTGAATCCCTGCTTTTCTAGACATGAAATTCATTTTCATTTAAAACCTGGACAAAG